AAAAAAAAATCTCTATAGATAATCTCAGTATAAACCTTACCTCACATGTAAATATAATCAAAGAAGGTAAAAAGCTAACAACAAACTATTGCCAAAGCAGTGCAAGAAGTTACAAACCAGCATAAAATTAACTCACATAGACGAGAGTACATCCCCTTTCCAGGCCCTCCAGCAGAAAAAGAGCCACCACCTCCCATAAGCATCTGCAAAAAAATTAAAAAAATAAAATAAAGAAAAAATTGGTTCTTCTATTTCTACAGAGATAATAAATGAGCACCAACATGAATCACAAAAGCAACATGAAACTATGCATAAATTCTGCAGTAAACTGCTTGGAATAAAACTCATTAAAACCTGAAGTACTGTCACAGCCATGGCATCCTTTTCCTTATGCCAGCCACCAGGAACTTCAAAAGCAATAGCAAGTTGTGTACTCTGTTGAGCAAAAGAAAGTTTGACAAAAAATATAAAAATCAAAAGCTCTATGTAAAAAAAAATAAAAAAACATAAATTCAACAACAAATTATCATAGGCACCGCAGAATCAGCTTGACACCGATAATCCCCTCCAACATAGAGAGATTTTGGCTCCTCTGGGCGATTAACCTTGGGAAGATTCAATAGAAGTGGTTCGGCAAGTTTAACTAATTCCTCGTGTTCCACACCAGATGCAGCAAGTACCATCCTTGGGGCAGTATAGTTTTCCTGTGTATCCAGAAGGAGAAAAATTCAGTACATAGGTCAATGGAAAGCACAAACTAAACATAATGAAAAAAAAATAATAACAATTAAGTGTGAACTTACAGCAACAAATTGTTCAAGAACACTGCTATTTATTAAATTCAAGGATGATTCGGAAGCCAAAAGTGGAATTGCTAATGCACCACTATATCCGGCAGAGTGTATAGCCTCCAAAAGCAGACCCTGTGGGTTGTTCGAAGCTTCTGCTATCTCTAACTTTACTTTCTTTACCTGTACAGCAGGAAGTAACGAGTAAAGTGTCAAAATAGTTTCCTGACTATTACAAGAGGTTAAAAGTGTCAAATTAGTCCCAAAATTATTTTAATATGGGTTGAAATAGTCCCAAGAGACTATATTA